TGTCCCTCAGCTCTTCAGCTCAAGGCTAGCACTCTACCACTTGAGCCACAGTGTCACTTCCGGTTTTGTGGTGGTTTCTTGGAGATAAGAGTTTCACAGCCTTTCCTGCCCGGGGTTGGCTTTGAACCGTAATCCTCAGATCTCAGCCTCCTGAGTGGCTAGGATTACAGGCGTGAGCCACTGGCGCTCGGCCACACTATGTTCTTTGAACATACTTTTACCATGTAAAAAAGAAGTCAATTTGAAAAAAAATACTTGGGCCAGGCACCAGTAGTTGGTGCCTGTAACCTAGCTACTCAGGAGGCTGAGCGCTGAGGGCTGTGGAGAGAAAAGTGCATGAGACTCTTATTTAAATCTCCAATTAACCAGCAAAAAGTTAGAAGGAGTATGATTCAAGTGGCAGAGAGACAGCTATGAGCAAATAAGCTAAGGGCAGCATCCAGGCTGAGTTCAAGACCCTCCCAGGACCCGCACAAAGCAAGAGCAGCAGAGCTGACGGCAAGGACCCAGCTGTGGTAAAAGCTGGAATATTTCTGATGGTGAAGTGTTGGGGAGCACTGAGAACAAACAAAGGGGTTATGTGTGTGCTGAACTTCACATAGCTAATCCTCAATACTGGCCAGCACGGGGCGTCCTGCAGCTGGACGGGCCCCGGCCGCCTGGCATCACACCTGGCCAGGCCTCGGGCACCAGGTGGCCAGATGACCCTCACTGGACTCTGCCTCACTCTCCTAGAGGAGCTGCCTGAGACTATCAATAGCCACCGCATCCACCTCAGAGCCCAGTGGCTCCTGGCCCCTTAGGCTTCTGGGTCCTGGGACACGGATGGTCCTCCACCGGCTCCTTGCAAGGAGAGCTGCCATCGAGGATTTGGGCTCCGTGCGCTGAAGCAATGCCTGCGCCTGGGCAGAGCCCCGGGCACCTGTGAGGGAGGCAGTGAGCGGAGGCCAGAGCTGCCCTGGGCAGCGGTGCTTGTCCGCGCCAGCTTGTGGTCTCCGCATACTGAACCTGGGGACCCTGGGGAGTTGGCAGATTTACTATCGGTGAAGGGCAATAATCGCGCCAGGAGGAGCAATTATCGCCAAATCATTTAGGATTTAAAAATCACTGGCAAGAAGATGGAGGTCAGGAGGTGTGCTGTCATGGGAAATAAAACACTCCACCTGTCAGGCCCGGTTTCACTTCCTTTCTGACTGCGATGGTAAAGGGGAGTCACAGAGCCAAGAGGTAGGACTTGCACAGGCCTGGATATCCAGATAGCTGCGGGACGCCACCACGGGCCCCTGGTTCTAAGGCAGAGCCACCGCTCCCCTTAGATGCAGCCTGCATGCTGCGTCTGTCTGCTCCCAGCTTGGTACAGGACACAGCCCAGTGGTGCAATGCCCTGGCAGGCAAACATTTCAGAGCCTGGCAGCCCGGGACTCTGCTGGTAGTGTGCAGGGCTGGGTAGGGATGGAGGCCCGGCTCAGTCTCTGACCTGCAGCCCCGAGGAGTACAATCCCACGTGGCATCAGACCACCAGCTCCCCGAGAAACTCAGAAGTGGTTCAACATTTCCTCCATGGACAGGTACATTCCGTCACAAGGAACGGTGGTGACACAGCCAAATGCAAGGAGCATTATTTTCCAAGCAACAAGAAACAACAGCGTGAGTTAGGATGAGGGGCCACAAGTCCCCTCACAAACTACTAGGCAGGAAGGCAAACTGACAAACCGTCTGAAGTTGAATGTACATCATGACCATGCCAACAGGGTGCGTGGCAAAGCAGACAGGTACAGGAGGGTAGCACGCAAAGGTGTTGGATATACAAGCAGGAGTTTGGAAACCACCTAGCATCCGACAGTAGTGTTAAAGAACATAATGAGCATCCATCTGGTGGACTACGATGCAGTCACAAAAATTACTCAGATAAAGCACCAAGAAAGTTATTCACAACAGAATAATGAAGGGAAAAATCAAGGGTACAGTTGTTCATGCTTACAATCCCAGTTATTCAGAAGCAGAGATCAGAAGGATCACAATTTGAGGTCAGATCAGGCAAGAGAGTCCATGAGACTCTATTTTCAATTAACCACCAAAAAGCCAGAAGTGGAGCTGTGGCTTAAGAGGTAGAGCACCAGCTTTGAGTGAAAAAGCTAAGGGACAGCTCTCAGGATCTGAGTCAAGCCCTGTGCTGGAACAGACATTTAAAAAAATGTTATACTATGAAAGGAGACAAGAAGACCTGAGATGTACTTTAAATTATGACAGGAACTAGGCATGGTAGCATATGTCTGTAATCCTAGTGCTTCAGAGTTCAACGAAGGAAAACTTTTGAGACTATCTAAAAAAACAACAACAAATACCAACAACAAAAAGGTACCCTGTTTTCTTTGCAGCACTGGATTTGAACCCAGGGCCTCAGGCCATGTTAGACAGGCGCTCTACCATTCAGCCACATTCTAGCACTTTTTGCACTGCTTGCCTTTGAGATAAAGAGTCTTGCATCCTGCCTGGGCACATATTTGGACTGTGGTCCTCTATTTTCCACTTCTCACTATAGCTGGGATGCAAGTGTGCGCCTCCACGTCCAGCATCTTCAATTGAGTCTTAAGAACTTTTCTTCCTGAGTTGGCCTGGAACTATGATCCTCTCTATCTTAGCCTCTTCACATGGCTACTCTGGTTACGAAGGGGGTACTGTAAACTTTTTGCCTGGGCTAGCCTCAAAGTGTAATCTTCCCAATACTAGTCTCCCAAGTAGCTAGGATTATAGGCATGAGTCACTGGTGTCTGACTAAAAAAACATTTAAGAGAAAGTAAACAGTTTATATGTGAAAAAATCTAGTCAGCACAAAACAGAGACACCTGCACACCCATATTTACTGTAGCAGTACTCATGATGGGCAAGCTAGGAAATCAGCAGCTGAATGGACCAAGTAAATGCAGGGTCTGTACACAATGGAGTATTAGTCAGCCATAAAGAAGACTAATATGATGTCACTTTCAGGAAATGAATGGAACTGGAGAACATTATGTTAAGTGAAATAAGCCAGATTCATGTTTTCCCTCATATGTAGCATCCAGATTTTAATAAAAAGGCAGAAAAGGAGAAAAAAGAGTATTTGAGAAGAGGAGGCAGGCTGGGAGAGGGTGACAGAGGCAGGTGAGTGACTAGACCTGGTGTCCATGTATGAAAACAGCATAGTGAGCCTGGGCACGTCGTACAACTAATCCAGGCTGATAGAAAAGAAAGGGAAGCGTGCGGACAGCGCGTGGCTGGCGGACACGGGGCAGCTTACCGTCTCACCACGCACTTGCGCGCGTAGTTGACATCCGTGCAAGAGAAGAAGTTGGGTCTTCTTACCTGGTGGGCTTCCACGCCCATTGCCTGCAGGGCGGAGTTGAAGAACTCAGGGGACGGCTTCCCTACCACCTCGGCCTCCACACCACAGGCATACTGGAGAGACAGGACAGCACAGGTGTGAGGCTGAGGACACGCGTGTGGCCCAGTGTGGCCCCCAGGGCCAAGGGAGCATGTGAACACAGCTCACCCGCAAGGGCATCACCACTCCACTCGGGCTGCCGGGGACTCTGACATTCCTCTTTCTCTCTGTCTCCCCCCTCCCCTCCCTCTCCCTCCTTTTCCTTCCCTCTCTGTCTGAACTGGTCTTGGGGCTTGAACTCAGGGCCTGGGCACAATCTCTGAGCTTTTTTGCCCAAGACTAGTGCTTTACCACTTGAGCTAGAGCTCTACTCCTGGCTCTCTCGTGGTCAACTGGACTGGAGATAAGAGTCTCATGGACTTTCCTGCCAGGGCTGGCTTTGAACCCTGATCCTTAGATCTCTGGCTCCTGCGTAGCTAGGATGACAGGTGTGAGCCACGAGCACCCAGCTGCTTCTGTTCTCTTGTCCCTGTCTGATTTTTTTCCCAGTGCACCTCCAGCCCTGTCATGGTGCTCCTGCGAGCCCAAGGGCTCCTCCTGCCCCGCTGGCCATCCTTCCCACAGGTGCTGGGGGGGGGAGGGGGAGAGGGAGGGGGAGGTTGCATGGCCCTAAGGCTGACCTGACCTGCGAGGGGGCAGCTAATAGGACGGAGTCAGAGCAGACTCTGGGGCCTGGTAAGCTGAAGGCGGGGTGGGGTGGGGTGGGGGGTGGGTGGGAAGGAAGCCAGGGAGGTCTCTGAGGGAGTCCAGCCCAACTGGCTGCAGAGGACCAGGGTCCAGGAGGTGGCCATGAGTCAGGAGTGGCAGAGAGCAGGCGGGGACACAGGCTGGGAGTGGGAAGGGAAGGCAGCGTGGGGACATGGAGACAGACTGCGTGGCTGGAAGCCCCTGTGGGAACACCTTCTTTAAAGCAGGAAAGACCATGCACACACGGGGCCCACCCTCTTCTCCACAAAGCCTGGGAACACCTTCTGGGGCAGCCCTGGAGAGGGCGTGGCGCCAGTACCTCGAGCGCCTTCATGTAGGCTCCGACGTCCAGCATCAGGCCAGAGGTCTCCTTGTAGTAGCGCCTGCAAGAGAGCCGAAGGAGGAGGTGAGCCAAGGGAGGAGGAGAGCAGGTCAGCATGGACGCATACTCAGTGACGCGCAGAGGCCTCGGCAGAGCCCGGGGCCAGCAGCTCGGCACACCATGGGTCATTCAGTCTCAGTGACCCTCGGCCATCTGGGGACCCTGATGCGATGATCAGCCAGGGTCCCCAGGGGACAGACGACCCAGGTGCTCACACACAGAAACACAAGTGGCCTGTGTCTGAGACGGGTGGCAGGCCCCCAGAGACCGTGGTGAACCCCCAATGGCTAATCATTAACCCTTGAAGAACCACCTGAAGAAGAAAACGCCAATCGTTCCACAGCACCCTGCTGAGGCCAGGCGAGGCGGCTCACAGAGCCAGATGCTTCCACGAGCAGACGAGACCCTCTGCCTTCCCGAGGCAACGCGCAGGCCCGGCCGGCTCCGCCCCACGTTGGAACTGGGCCTCAAGGCACCTCCGGTCCCTGTCACATGGCGGACCAGACCTAGGGCTCCTAGCAAAGCCATTTGGGGACGGAGGAGATGTGAGTCAGCCACGCTGCTCCTGAAGACAGGACTCGCTGACGACCAGGAGGAACAAAGGGATTGGGGTCCGCCACCTGCCATGTCAGGGTCCCCTCTGTCCCGGTGCGCAGAGTTAGGGGCTTTCACTAAGCCCAGGTCCAGAGCCCAGAGACCGGAGAGGTGGCACACCTCAGATCCAGATCCTTACTTTGCTTTCCAGCAGTGGCTGTGGCTGCCCAAGCGGAGGCGCGGACCCCGGCCTGCCACCTGTCAGTCACCCGGGGTCCATGTGCCCCGGCTGTGGGCATCTCCTGTCTAGTGACCCCCAGCCCTCAGGCCTACAGTGGTGCCTTGTTTCTCTTTCTAAATCCAGAATTCAGACATTCATCTTGCATTTTCTACAGCCTCAAAAAAATGTTTCCACCCATTACTTAGGAGGCTGAGGCGGAGGCCTTGAGTTTGAGACTAGCCTAGCCTACCTCGCAAGAACTTATCCCAGAAGGAAAAAAGGAGCACATGGTGGAGGGCGGCACTGGTGGCTCAGGCCTGTAATCGTAGTGGACAGCCCGGGGACTGAGAGACACAGAGGACTCAAAGGGGACCCCTGAGATGGGAGGAAGTTACCTCACCAAGAGGAAGGGGAGGGAGCAGGCCTGGGGCCATCTTGGAATCTGCTCTGCTGGGGGCCACAGTGAGCCCTCGCAGCCCCACCTCTATCCTCTGCTCATGGGATAGGAAGTTTGGGGGGCTATAGGGGGCCAGAAAGGTTAGAGCTAGGAAGGGCCTCTAAAGAAAGAGCATGGCAAAGTGGGTGGGCAGAGGACAGAGGGGAGGGCAGAGGGCACCCAGCATGGGGGACGTTCACCCCAAAGCAAGTGGACACCTCCAAATCCAAACCAGCTGCTGTAACAGGCGCAGCTGTTGGGAGCTGGGGATTCAGGGGGCTTCTGGGTCCTGGGCTGATCTGGGACCAGCTGGAGGCACAGGGCTGGAATCAGCCTCTCTCCTTAGCAAAGCCCTTGAAGAGATTCCAGGGCACAGCTCTGCTGGCTTCCTCTAAACCCACAGGACTTTCTTTGGGCACCAGTGGTTCATGCCTGTAATCCTAGCTACTCAAGAGGCTGAGATCTGAGGATCCTGGTTCAAAGCTGGACTGGGCTAAACAGTCCTTGAGAGTCTTATCTACAATTAATCAGCAAAAATGGAGAAGCGGATTTGTGGCTCAAGAGGTAGAACACTAGCCTTGAGCAAAAACACTAAGGGACAAGCCATGAGTTCAAGCCCCAGTACTAGCATAAAACAAACAGATAACTTGGACTTTCTTGCACCTGGATCTAGTCCCGGATTGTGTGACTTACACTATGCAACTCCAACCTTGCCCTTGTTAGGGTCATTTTCAGAGTCCAATGTCAAAATCAGCCCTGTAGTTCTTTCTTTAACTGGGTCGGGGTTGACTGAAAAGGACCCAGGGTTTTTAGTCACTGGGAACACAAAAGGCCATCCAAGCTGACCGCTGGTCTGGACCACTGTTCAGAAGTGCAGCAGAGGCTGGATTGACTTCTCGGCTTCCTGCACACACAGTCCCAGCAGCCTGGCCAGGCCCCACGGGCGCCCCCATAAAGGAGGCCCTATGGACACGGGGAGAGTGGGCAGTCAGATCGGATTTTCTGCTTCATTCTCCTGCTGTTTCCCACCCTCCAGCAGAGCCTCCCTGCAAAATGACCACTTGACCTTTCGCAGAAGAGCCATTAACCTTCCATAGTCTGTCTCATAAACAGCTTAATTTTCTGATGGCGGCATGACAGAAGAAATTACAAAGCCAATTCCCACCCTGGGTCCAAACAGATGCCAAATGTAAATCACTCCAGGGGGTGCTCGGGCCTCCCCTGCCCGCAGGCCCACCCCAGCGGAGCTCCAGCCGAGCCTAGCACCTGACAGCAGCTCCTCAGGGCCCTTTGGGCTGCCCTCAGCAACTGTGACCCCTCTAAAAGCTGCTGGCTCTGACACGCCCACCTTGAGCCCAACACAGAAGCCCAGTGTCCAGAGCCCCAGCCATCTTGTACTGCCCCGCGTCTGCCTCTGAGCCACTGAGGGCCACACGCTGAGCACAAGGCCTCCGTCTTCCTTCCTCCCAACAGCATACCTAGGTCAAGACGACCCATAACAGATGGTTAATTTTATGCCCATTCCTTTGGGCCATGGTGGTTAGACAGGAGATCAAATACGATTCTGCTTATTTCTGTGAAGATGGCTTTTGGATGGAATTGATGTTCAAATCACTGGAGTCTGGGTAAAATAGATTTTACCCAGTCCATGGAAGGAGCTTGCGGAGCAAACTGATCTCCTGGGAGCAAGAAGAGTCCTCCAACGGAGGGCCCTGGGAGGGCCCTGGGCCCCAGCGGCGGCTCTGCCCAGAACCTCAGGCTGCTCCCTGCGCTGCAGATGCCTTCCCACCTCCTCTAGCTCTCGTGCTTTCCTCCCTCTCCTCCTCTCCCTTGCCTTCTCCTTTACATCCCTATTTGAAGAGCTCTGATTAGTACAGGGCCTGTTTCATTTCTAGGGTAAGCATACTACAAACACGAGAAATTTTCAGTCTCTAAAAATACATACGTGTCTGTCCTCTCTCCGCCCCCCAATCCTCCTGACTCAGCCTTCCCTCTCTCCTATGCTCACCCCACTTTATTGACATCCAGTCCTAGCTGCAGTCACGACAGTGTTGACACAACACTATGATTTGCTTTTGTTTTTTAAAAGGAGACAAAAGAAGGTTAAAGACTGTGCCCAGAGGCTCGGCCATCATCCCAGCTATGCAGGAGATGTAAGTAAGAGAATCTCGGTCCACAGACAAAAGCATGAGATCCCATCTGAAAAATAACTAAAGCAAAAAAAGGACAGGCACGTGGCTCACGGTGGCAGACACCTGCCTAGTAAAGGCCAGGCCCTGAATGCGAACCTCAGTCCTGCCAAAGAAAAAGAAAAACAAAACACATCAAAGCCTGGCCACACCACCTGAAATCAGTATCTGGAGCTGTGCCTGGGCACTGTTACCTGCTTTAGACTTTGGACACTCAATATTTGGCCTGAGAACTTCAGGGCCTACATCTGCATGGACGTCCCTAGCCTCTCTGAGCCCAAGGTCTGCTTGATCAAACCAGTTCCTGCAGCTTCCTAAAAAGTTATGTAGAGAAGGAAGGAGGGGGAGGAGGGGGAGGAGGGAAGGAGGGAGGGAGGGAGGGAGGAAAGGAGGAAGGAAGTGAAGATGGAGAAGGTCACCATGCCACGTCCTTCTCTGTGTCCTCTATTTGGGTCAAGGACCACAGCCACTGTCCAGAGCTGCCTGGAACCACTCACCCTTTTCCTAGGGATATGAGCACGGGAGTTTCCAGCTCCATGAGCACTTGGAAGGCCTTATTCATGTTCTGATAAGAAAAGCCTTCGCCAGCATCCGCAATCACAACACAGTTAGGGTTGGATGTGTCGATATGATCAAATTCTGAGCGGACTCCTGAAAGGGGGTGAGAGAGAGAGAGAGACAGAGACAGAGACAGAGACAGAGAGAGAGAGAGACAGAGAGAGAGAGAGAGAGAGAGATTAATCCAGAGACAATAAGACTGATTCCCAGCTCCAACCAGGGGTACTTTCTGCATGTCAGGTCTGCCCTTTTACTCTTCTTTCTCTCTATCTTTCCTTCCTTCCTCCCTTCCTCCTTCCCTCCCTCCCTCCCTTCCTTTCTGCAGGTATTAGGACTTGAACTCAGGACCAGGGACCTGTACCTGAACTTTTCCCCTCAAGGCTGGTGCTCTTATCATTTGAGCCACATCTTTCTGACTTTTTGGTGGTTAACTGGAGATAAGAGTATCATGGATTTTCCTGACTATGCTAGCTTCAAATCATGATCCTCAGATCTCAGCCTCTAGAGTAGTTAGGATTACAGGAGTGAACCAGCAACTAACATTTTTCTTTTTGTTTTCTCAGTCATGGGGCTTGAGCTCAAGCCTGAGTGCTGTCCCTGAATTCTTTTACTCAAGGCTAGTGCTCTACCACTTTGAGCCACAGTGCCACTTCTGGTTTTCTGGTGGTTAATTGGAGCTGAGTCTCGTGGCCTTTCCTCCCCAGGCTGGCTTTGAACAGTGATCCTCAGATCTTACCCTCCTGAGTAGCTAGGAATATAGGTGTGAGCCACAGGCGCCTAGCTAGCTTTTCTGAACGGGAACTACCACAAGAAGTGGACAAGGAAGGGTGGTATTCTCCACGCCTACACATAGGAACTTAGTAGTAAAAGGCTGGATCCACTCCTGGGTCTCGCCCCTCAGTTCTGCAGCTCAAAATGCAGGCAGGAAACGCAGAGCCTTAGAAGGAAGCCTGGAAATATGCCTGTGGTAGAGTCAAGCTGGAGGGGGAGGCTCTGGCAGGAGGAGAAAGCAGGCCGCTTGCAGTGCTGAGGCGTGGTTTGCTGGCCTCCGACACAATTCAGGAGAATGCACACACATGTCCGGAGGAGGCTGCCCCCCCCCCCCCCCCCCGCAAGCCCGTGTGGAAAGGGCCTCTCTACTTTTCCCTCTCCCATTTTCAGTTAACACAGGGAAAGTTGCAAAGATAAACCGAGTCACTGATTTTATGTTATCTTTTCTAGAAAAAAAATGTTCTTTTTTTTTCCCTCAGTATTAGAAGTTGACTGCGTTGATTCAAAAAATTGAAGTAGTGCATACTGATGGCTTCAGCCTGTCATCCTAGCTACTCAGGAGGCTGGGATCTGAGGATCATGGTTCAAAACCAGCCTGGGGAGGAAAGTCTGTGAGACTCCTACCTCTAATAAACTATTCAGAAAAAGCCAGAAGTGGGGCTCTGGTTCAAGTGGTAGAGTACTAGCCTTGAGCAAAAGAAGCTCAAGGACATCCTGAGTTCAAGCCCCAGAACTGGCAAAATAATAATAAGAAGAAGAAGAAGAAGAAGAAGAAAAACTTGAAGTAGCCAGATGCCAGTGACTCATGCTTGTAATCTTAGCTACTTAGAAGGCTGAGATCTAAAAATTGTGGTTTGAAACCAGCCCAGGCAGGAAAATCTGTGAAAGTCTTTTTTTTGGGGGGAGGGGGGTGGGGGGGGGGTCCAGTTGTGGGGCCTGAACTCTGGGCCTGAGCGCTGTCCCTCAGTTCTTCAGCTCAAGGCTAGTGCTCTACCTCTTGAGCCATAGCACCACTTCCGGCTTTTTAATTTTTTTTCTGCTTATGTGGTACTGAGGAATCGAACCAGGGCCTCATGCATGCAAGGCAAGTGCTCTACCACTAAGCCACCTTCCCAGCCCCCTCTGTGAGAGTCTTATTTCCAATTAACCACTAAAAGCTGGAAGTAGAGTTGGAACTCAAATGCTAGAATGCTAGCCTTAGTGAAAAAAGCTAAGGGACAGCACCCAGGCCCTGAGTTCAACCAGCACGTGCGCGCGCGCACGCGCGCGCACACACACACACACACACACACACACACACACACACAAATTGATGTAGCCACAGTGATGCTACTTCCTGCCCACCAGAATGCCAAGAGTGAAAAGAACAAACATCATCTAGTGCTGGTGAGGACAGAAAAGTGTCTAATAGCCCAAGCCCCTAGAAAAGGGGAGGCAGTTTCTTATACAACTAAACATGCCCTACCATATGACCCATCAATTCTGCTCCTAGGTATGTGCCCTAAAGAACTGAACAGGATTGTTTACTGCAGAGTTATTCATGATGGCCTAAAACTAGAGAACTCCAGGACCCACCATGGTTAAACATACTGTACTACATTCATTCTCTGTAATCCTCCCGTAACAGGAAGAACACCCCGACACATGCAATAATACAGTGTCTAGCTGGGCATGGTAGCTCAAGCCTGTAATCCCAGCTACTCAGGAAGCAGCAGGTAGGAGGATCAAAGTCCAAGGCCAGCTCTGGGCAAAAACATAAACCCTTATCTGAAATATAACTAAGAAAACAAAGAAGAGCTGTGAGTGTGGCTCAAGTGGTAGAGCATCTGCCTACCAAACACAAGGCCCTGAGTTCAAGCCCCAATACGGGCAAAAAAATTTTTTTTATTTAACTCCAGTGTGAAGACACAGGTACATCTACTGACGACGGACTCAGTTCATCACAGGGGCAGGGCATCAGCCTTCCCTCCATCCTCACAGGCTCCGCTGGTTGCCTGTTTGGGCCCTTGAATAAAACCATTCCTGGGCCTCCATGTTACGCCAGGTCTAGCAAGCCTTTTCTGGTTGTTGGGAAGAGAATTTCTTTCTAAAGACACTGGCAGAAATCCTAGCCCACAGAGAAAGGACTTTGAGAAACAAGATGTTGAAAGGCTGGGCACGTTGCCTTTGACTGGTGCCAGGACTGAGTCCCGCCTTGGACCCTCCCCATGAGTGCCCTGCTCCTCTGCTGGTTCTCCTCAGCCTTGCCTTGGCCCAGCGGTTTGTGCAACAGACACGTCAGGTGCAGAGAAGGAAGGAAGAGAGCTCAGTGGACATCCAGAGCAGTGTCCTGAACTCCAAAGCTCTGCTAAACAACATTTCGAGACTACTGCTCCTTCAGCTTTGTTCCCAGGCACCAGTGGCTCATGCCTGTAGTCACGGCTACTCAGGAGGCTGAGATCTGAGGATCTCAGAGGAGGAAAGCCCATCAGATTTTTACCTTCAATTAACCAGCAAAAAAGCAGAAGTATAACTGTGGCTTAAGTGGCAGAGTCAGCCTGGAGCAAAAAGAAAAGGCTAAGGGACAGCACCCAGTCCAGGTGCTGAGGCTGTGAGTTCAAGTGCCAGGACCAGCACACACATAAAAACATTAAAAAAAATCTTCCCCCTAAGGGTGGAAGAGCTCTTGTCTTGAATTCAGGCGTTCAGATAAAATCTGGACTCAACCCTGGTCCCTTTAGCCACTTACAATCTGAAAAGTGGGGCTAAGGTCACAAATGAAGCCCAGCCCTCAATCCAGCCTTTCCATTCCTTCTTCTTGTCTTTTATGAGGAACTAGAATTTGTCCTCCAGGGACACCCTGGCCCTCTTGGTTCAGCCTAGATCAAGACATACCGTCTTGGGCTTCCCTACCAGGGCCATCCGAGGCAGCCTCCTATGATGGGTCGAGGCTACCGGCTGGATGGGGCCGGGCCCTCCCCATCCTACCCTCGCCAGCGGACAGCGCCGCGACCTCTCTGCCCTGCAGGCCCTCGAGTGTCTTGGCAGAAGCCAGGTGTTCACCCAAGTGTCCTTTCAGGTGAGAGCCGAGGCCCTCTCCCCATCCCCGCCCTGGGAAGGTGCCCAGCCTACCGTCGTGGATGAGCAGGTGCGGCCGAAGGCCTCGCTCCTTCAGGATCTGGCAGGTGGCCGGTGCCGGGGCGGTCACCTCCCCCTCAGAGATGTCAAATCCCAGCCGCCGAAGCACTGCCACCAGCTCCGCCCGCGACTTCTGCGACTCGTTGGTACAGAATCTCACCTTCAGCCCGGACTGCTTCAGTCTGGAGTGGGAAACGCAGGGAGTGTGGTCAGAGCACAAGCGTGGCCTCCAGGGCAGGCCAGGCCCTGCGGGTCCTGAGGTGGCCTGACTGTTACAGGTGTGTTCACACTGAGCGTCCATGGCTGGTGCACACACATTCTAGGGGACCCTGGGCCACACCCACCCCCTTCCTATCCACCCTCACTAGGCTGAAACACCTGGGACTCCCACGTTCCCCTGGTCTCAGCCAGTGCCTCTTCCTCTGGCTGGGCCACACTGTCTCCCTACCTGCACCAAGTGTCCCCTCCCCTCCACTGGCCATCCTGTTTGGCCTGGAGGCATGGCTCAAATGGTAGCATGTGTCGGCCTTAAAGCAAAAAAGCTAAGCGAGAGCAGGAGGCCCTGAGTTCAGCCTCAGTTCCAGCACAAAACAAAACAAGAAGCTCTAGCAAAATTAGCCAACTGTAAGGCTCACCCAGTGTTCTCACGGAGGAGAGGAAGCTCCCGCCCCAGGGCCAGAGGCCCTACAGAGGCTTGCAGGCCACCGCCAAGCAGGTGTGCAAGCCCCACCCTTTCAGGTAAATGGGAGGTGGAACTAGAAGATGAGGCTGGAGTGGAAGACAAAAGGCCGGAATAAGAGAGGTACCCACCCATGGCTGAGTGCTGACTCTTTAGAGTTTTTGCTCAAGGCCGGCACTGTACTACTTGAGCCATACCTCCACTCCCAGATTGTTGCTGGTTAACTGGAGACAAGAGTCTCATGGACTTTTCCTGCCCAGGCTGGTTTCAAACGAGGATCCTCAGATTTCAGTGTCTGAGTAGCTAGGACTACAGGCGTAGCCACCAGTGCCCGACCATGACACACTTTTTCTTTCTCTGTAACATCAGCACCTCCAATGTCCAATGTCCATACCTGATTATGGTCCTCCCTTGTCCAAATGCCCCATGAGTTCAGGAATGGGGTCTGTTTGGTCCACCAGGGCTTGGCACACACAGGCCCGTGACAAACGTTTGCTGAATAAACAACTAATGGAAGAGTCTAAATGACCTCATCTGTGGTTTCCCAGAAGCAGTCTGGATCATGTAGCTCCCTCTCTTGAGCCCTTACAGAACCTCTAGGTCCTCCTGGCCCTGGAGTTGCCAGGTTAAATTTAGGAAGGAATCCAAAGATTCTCTGACAGCAGAGTGAATGCAGACAGAGCTGCTGCCCATGTCTTCTCCAGCCCAGGTGATTCATTCCTTTCTTATTATTTATCTTTCCTAATCAGAGGTTTATGAATGATCAATTACACTTAGTGGTTAATTGCCCTTCATAAAGATAGCTTTTTTTTTATTTTTAAATTAGCCAGTTAATATATTGTAACTAATAGCATCACCTTGTATGGAACGGACAGATCTTCATTGATTGGCACCTGGAATGTGTGATTCACACCCAAGTTAATGGAGCAGTTGAGTGAAGAAGTGCAGGGGGTCCCAGGGGACTAATTACTGCTAATGAGTGACGCTGTGACCTTCCCAGAACAGTGAGCAATTGGTGGGACAGCGAGATGGCAGAGCCTCACATCTGTCACTCCAAACACATCTTCAGATGCAAGCGGGAATAAGCCACACAACTCACTTGGTGACACTGGTGGCGGTCTCCCTCGAGACCCCCAACAGAAGTTTGTCTAAAATAGACACCTCCCAAATCAGAGTGTTGGGGATGAGCCCTGCCCCTGGGCAGGATGGTGGGGTGCCCTTTCTCAGGCCGTTCCTAAGGGCCACCAGTCATGTCCCTTTTTGATGTGCCACCCCCAAGCAGGCTCTGAATTCTTCCCTTCTTAAAATTCTTGTGTTGGCGTGAACTCAGGGCCTTATGCTTTCACTTGTTTTTCCCTTCTCAGGGCTAGCACTTTACCACGGAAGCCACAGCTCCACTTCCAGCTTTTTTTTTTTTTTCTGGTTCATTAGAGATAAAGAGTCCCATGGACTTTTCTGACCAGGCTGGTTTTGAGCCACAATCCTCAGATCTCAGCCTCCTGAGAAGCTAGAGTTCCAGGCGTGAGTCATTGGCAGCTGGCGGTCAGTTTAATACTTTAAGTGAATGAGCATAATAAAAGTAATCACTAATATTTCTAATAATCAGCCTGGGTACCTGGAACTTTAGGCAGCGCCTCCAACACTAGAGGGCCACTGCCTTAACACTATACCCCTGCTCTAAGTGCCATCACTAAGTTCCAGCTGTCTGGTGAAGGAGACTGTGAGGAGAACCAGCATTCTCATTGAAGAGACACAAAAATGGAGGCTCAAGGGCAGAGGCCTGACTGGGCCACGGCAGGTTAAGCTCAAAGCCCTCTGTTGTCTGCAGAGAAGCATGCAGGCCCTTGAGAGGTGGGCAAAAGCCCCAGAATTCTCAAATAGGACCCTGTGCCCTGCTCAGCACCCAGCCTGCCCAGCTGGCTATCTGAAGCAAGGGAGAAGCACCCATGGGCCGCACTGGAACATGTACCAGAGCGATAAATACGGAGATGGGGGGGCCCAGTGTGAGACCCCATTATGGGCTGGCTGATGTACATCTCACCAAGTCCATATGTGGTTGTGGTTGGACAATTTTGTATGTGTGTGTGTGCACACACGTGACTGCTGGAACTTGGGGTTGAACTCAAGAGCCTCATATTCTCATTTGGCTTTTTTGCGCTAAGCTGGTCTTCCACTTCAACCACAGCTCCACTTCTGGCTTTGTGTTGGCTAAGTGGAGATAAGGGTCTCTCAGATTATTCTTCCCCAGGCTGGCTTCACACTGCAATTCTCAGATCTCAGCCTCCTGAGTAGCTAGGACGACAGGTGTACCCCCCTAGTACCTGGTAGCAACTTCCTTTTATGAGATTAAACAGAGTCAAGAGGCAGAAGCTCTGATATGATAGGACTTTGTCCTCATTAGAGAATGCCTGAGCCAGAGCCAGTGGCTCACGCCTGCAATCCTACCTACTCAGAAGGCTGAGATCTGAGGGTCATGGTTCAAAGCCAGCCTGGGCAGGAAAGTTCCTAAGACTCTTATCTCCAATTAATCACAGGAAAAAAAGCCAGAAGTGGCACTGTGGCTCAAGTGGTAGAGAGCTAGCCTTGAGCAAAAGAAGCTTAGGGACAGTGCCCAGGTCCAGAGTTCAAGCCCCAGGACCAGAGGAGGAGGAGGGAGAGAAAGAGGAGGAGGAGGGGGATGAGGAGGAGGGGGAGGAAGAAGAGGGGGAGGAGTTGTGGCGCTGGCTGAGGGTGCTGATTTGTGCTCCCTCTCCTCCCCTTTACCCCTGTCCCCATCCTTTTCTGATCTGACTCTTGTCTCTCTGTGCATGTGGGCCCTATACAAACACACAGAAAGATGGCAGCTGTCTGCCAGCCAAGAAGAGGCCCTCACCAGGCACTGACCATGCCGACTTCTTGGCCTTGGTCCCCCAGCCTCTAGGGCTGAGAGACAGAACTGTGAGTTACCTAAGCCACCGTCAGTGGTGTCCTAGTATGGCAAGTGGATGAGCAAACCTTCACCTCTTAGGCTAGAACGCAAGAATTCCAGAACATCAGGGAGGCCTACGCCCAAAGCGTTTCAAAAGCACTGCAGAGGGCCCAGGGAGAGGCGCACCCTTCAGGATGGGCTGTGTTGTCCCTACCCCACCACCCAGGGTCCTTGAAGGAAGGGGGTCTCAGGCAGGGCCTAGCAACCCAGTGACCCCCTCTGAAGCCAGCGTGTGGCCTCGCACACTGACCCTTCTCGAGGCCCCCCCCTTTCTGCAGTCCCACTGGATCTTTGAACTGACCTTTACCTCGTCCCTCAGGCCAGGACGCGCCTCTGAGTGACAGCGTCGCCTGGTGCAATTACTGTGCATCAGATGAGCCGGTCCCTTACAAATCACCTCGGACTTTACACATCTGCTGGCTGTCGGCATCTGCCAGGGGCGCTCACCCGAAAATAATGAAAACCCTCTCATTACTGTTCCGAGGCAAGTGAGTGCTGGGACAATTATTGGACAGCAGAGTGACCTTGGGATGGCTCCCAGCCTGTCCGCTCTGGCTTCCCAAGGGCTGGCAAGTGGGAGAGCTGGGAGCGTCCACGGAGTCTGGGCACGGCCAGGAGGCTGCCAAGGAAGGGGCTGGAGACATCTTACCACAGGGTCCCCCTGCCTTCCCCTAGCCCTAGCACCTGTCACCTTTATCTGACCCAGAGTCCCCTCAGCACGGAGTCACTGAACTGACTTTCTCTGTCCCTGAAAGCTTTCCCATGTGTCCCTCCACGTGAAAGGCTGCCCCTGCCTGGACCAAGGCAGAGCCCCACTTACCAGCCTGGCTCTGGGGGTGGGGGTCACCTGGACCTCCTTCCTTCTACTCCTCTACCAGCTCTGGGCTCCTAGAGGCCAACTGTGACTTCCTCAGTACCCCCTCCACCCCCCACTGAGGCCCCAGGATCAGGCACCTTAGGAGGAGAGGGACCAGAGGAGTCCTAGGGGCATCTGCACATGACCGGCCCCCATCCCTGGAGACTAGAGCCTCAGTTTACCAACACAAGCACCTGTGTGGGGACGTGACGCAGTGGGAGGGGAGCAGCAGGCCTAGAGGCCTAGGGGTCTAGAGGTCAAAAGAGTGAGGGGAAGAGGGGCTACAGAAAGTGCCAGCAGGGCCACTACCCTGGGGCCAGTGCCCTTGATGCATTCAGCGGGCTAACGGGGTGCCGCCTGGCTCCCAAAGTGAATGAATCTCAGATCTACGAAATGGCAGTTCAAGAGCTCACTGGGGTCCAACACTGGCAAGGTTACTGCATGGAGATCACCCGGGTGCTGCCAAGAATCCTGCCCCAAACATATCTGATATGATACCCAGATGATACTCAGCATGGCGGGTGCTTAACAGAGCGAAGCACTGAATGAATCCGAAAACTGGGTGTGATGGGCTTGCCTGGGAGGAGAGAAGTCCGAGTCCCCCTCCCTCACCAGGCCGAGCTTCCAGTGGGAGTCACGGCTCACTCCTCGCTGGTCCTGCCATGGGAGCGGGGCACAA